TTATTGAAAGAAGAAATAATATACGATTTTCTCACAAAATAGCCACCCAACAAGTCCAAAACTCGCTTCGCCTTCAATAATGTAGAAACGCAATAAGTGCAGCTTGCGATTTCATTCACGTAAACTTTTGTTTTATCGTGAGCGAGAGATTTGAATTTAAAAGCATCAGTAATATCTTAGTTAAGAATTAATTTCAATTTTTGTTGCGCAATTCGAGTTCTAAGTAGAATTTTGATAGAAATTATGTATCAGAGTGCTTAAGTCTCATCTTGTCCAGTGCAGTGGTTCATTGGCAAAATGTGTGATATTACCATATCACCAGACAAATTAACTTTTTTTGATGACATAAAGCTTCTCCTCTTGACTCGCATGCATATCGAATGGAATGGNGGGGGGGGGGGGGGGGGGGGTTGAGACGTCGAACTTCAATTTCTGCCTAAATTCGAGTGGGCGGTATGCGCAATGAACGGAAACCACCTAAATATGTATACTGGCGCTTTTATCGAGAACAATAACACAAAACACGGCCCAGCACTGTGACTTCCCATATTTTATCAACGGAACTTCCAAAAACTTTGGGGGAACAACGGATTTGACTCCTCCGCTTTCCTTATCTGAGGCGCTCTCGCGTGTGCGACTCCCAGAAACGCGCATTAAGCTATGTTCAAACAGACCTATTTCAATTCATTCACACCTGAAAAATATATCAAAACTGAGATTAATTCTTCTCGCGTATAATTTTTCGAACTTGATTTGAAAATGTACCTAATCTGAACAGCGTCTGCTTCAAAATAGATTTTCCGCTCCCTCTTAAATGAGGTTTTGTCCAATTTCTCTTCTTGAACAATCTTTTTCCATTACACTCTCGTGTCCTCTTTCCTCCGCCTTTTCATCTGTATGTAATTATGCCTTTTGTTTTTCTGTGACGCAACACACTCTTCTAAGCCCTTTTAAAACCGTCCGTGCAAGTTCTGGAAAAATAGAAGGCTGTACGTACAATATCTATACATATTTACTTAAAAAGTGAATAATAAGTACGGTAGTTTAGCTCCGAACCCATATATATATATATATATATATATATATATATATATATATAACATTTTCAAAATTTCCGTTCTAATTTCATTCTGGCTCATATTTTTGGTTGCTTAAAAAAATAACTAATTTGCAGAATGGAGGTAAATTATTTTTCATAGACATGGTTGGACCATTTTCTTTGGGAAAGGGGGTGAGGGTCCATTTACCCCTTGCGTGGTCTTCCTACTGGTAATTAGTGGCGACTGTTGGGAGGTTACATCTCATTAGAACCCACCATGAATGTTTTTGAAGCAGAGAAGAAAAATCAGAGAAGTTGGGGGAAAAATCATCAGCGGAAAAATATTACCGAGAAATTTGCAACGTTGCATATTAAGATACATTTTTTTGTCATGAACCATAAAAACAATGACAGGCAGTCTCAGAGAGAATTTCATTTCAATGCTAAAGTATCAGTGAGGGTTTTTAACTTTTGTCCTCCCTAGAAGTCCCCGACTATGAACCATGATCATTCTGTTCATAGACCAAAGTTTCAAGGTACTGATTGACACTTTCATGGTTTAAAATTTCTCTGAAAGCTGTTTCAATGTGCGGAGGATTTAGACATAAATTTGCAACACTCAATGAGTTTTGAAGGCAAGAAAGTTTCATATAGCGCCTTACGACTTAGATATCAGTATCGATGCCCTAAGCAAAAGATTTAACATTATTTAAAATGCATTGCCCTCTTTCGAGCTGAAACGGGGGAGCGGAAGATAAGGAGCCATCATGGCTGGAGCTTCAGACGTTTATCGACAATTCATCGCTCCTCTGACATAAAAACATAACTCCGTTTTGACGTAAGATCAAGAAAGTAAGCGAGCCCATCGCGAGGGGCACACCAATTACCCAATTGCGTAGCAACCACCCGGGCGCCAAACTTTCTCGCGTTTATTTTATCTCTTTAATGTTTGAGATATTCCATTTCTTTATTATTTTTCTTCAGGCACGTTACGATATGTCTTTATCCTGAGCCATGCACATCATTTTTGAACTTTAAAAATTCAAACGCTGACCTCTGAAAGAAAATTGTATTCCTACATATTGGATTTTAAAAGATTATTCCTAAACATACACCCTCCGTATTTTTCTATTCGTTCCCTCATTCATTGACGGAGCGGAAGGGGGGGGGGGGTTCCCTAAATTTTCTGCTGGTGTAGGGTAATAGGTATGCCCTTGTAAGAAACGTATAGAGTTATGTAAAAAGTAAAATTCATATTTATATCTAAATGTTGTTAGGTCCTTACATTGAAAGAACATCACATTTGAGGTTCATATTAGGAATTAATAATCCTGTCATGATGAAACTTAATAGCTTTCTAAAATCTTATGCGGTAGGTATCCATATTCCATGGAAAATGAAATAAATCCATTCGAGTTTTCAAAGTTAAACATGACTCTGAAATAGCCGTGTGACCTACATAAATGACTTACTTAACTTGTTTTCAACCCTCTTCATGGAACAGAGCATATCAATTTTTCTATTTTCTGTCAAAATAATCTTTCAGCTCACATGAGTACTTTTACGAAAATGTAATCTTTGTAAAAAATGGATTCATTACGAGTGCGTAGGTGTATAGAACTTAGAGTGAAATATTAATGAGCAGATTTTTCTGTGGGTAGGCACTTTAACTTAAAGTTCGTTGATAACTCTTTCTATTGGACATATACGATCCGATTTTCTACTTTGTTTTTAAAGATAACAGCAAAGCGTAGGTATGGGAGAACTTTTCCGGATAAATTAAAAAAATTCAGGGTTTCTAAAAGAGGGGAAAATGGGCGTATCACAAGTCTATGATGTGGCTTTCCTTCCAGAGAGAGGTCGTTTTTGAAGTGGCAAAGAGTAATCTTTCAGCCCGCAACAGTACCTATTTTGCCAGAGAAATGAATAAAACCAAAACATGTCTGTTACAAAAATCTGAGATTTTGTCCAAAGAATGAGAACAAGTCGTCAAAGACAACTTGTTTTAATAGCTGATTCGACTCGAGAAAAAGTTAGGGACCTAATGAGAAGCTTATGCAGCCAATCATGCTGGCTAAGCCTTCAGCATCTGTGAATTTAGACAATTCTGGTTCTTACGGTGTGACAAATATTTATGAAACTAACAGCACGAATCGACTGAAATATATTCCTCCCAGTTTTACGCCCTAAAAATTATAAAAAAGAAAAAATATGTACAACCTTTTAATTGCCGTACCTACAGATGTGACTGTCCACGGAAAAAGAACCTCAATTCAAGCGACCCAAATTTTTGGGAGAGCGGTTTTCGGCAAGTTGGGTAGAAAAATCGGATTTTCAAATTTCTATGAAAAACTCGTTTTACTATCCTATAGAATTCGTTGCGAGCGGATCAGGTCATTTTCATGTCAAGAAAGAGCGTTTAAAGCGCCGGATCATAATGAAACCATTATGATCCGGCAATTTTGTGACTTGAACATAACAAATTATAATTTTCAACCATTTCCTTCCCGAGCCACATTTTGTGAACGGTAATCTTTTAACAAGATTTTTTTTAAACGTAATCTTTAAACGGCCATAACTCATTTTTGGGTGTTAAAGCTCAATATTGAGTTTTTGTGAACCGAGATCCTCGGCAACAGCAATCTCAGCCCGAGATGCTAAGAGGCACAGTGCAGCGAAGATAATGAAATATTTTTGCAATTAAATGCACTAAAATGCAATTATTTACCATAAAATTGCAATCGATTCATTCTGTCAATAAATCCAATTTTAAGCGATCGATAAAGTGAGCTCCGTGTAGGAGAAAAAGAGGCAATTTGCAATGCAAAAAAATGGAATGATTACGACTAAGTATTTCAATTTTATTGTAATAAATTTCAATAAAGATGAGCCCCTTCAAATAGCGGATAGGCAATATAGACTACACTTTAATACAAAAGTGATTTTACCGCATGTAAATGCAATTTATTTCTACAAGTCGATGGGCAAAGTGCAAAACCACGTATCTCCGCTGGCAACTTTGCATAATTCCTGTCATACTTTATTGTCTCCTCGGAAAACTATTCAACGTAATTTCTTTAAAACTTATTTAATTTTCCTTCTCTGTTTGCAAAATATTCTGTAAAAATTTGAAGTCGTGAAGCTGGCCTGTTTCTCCTCGAAAAAAATATTGAAACGCCGCAATGGAGCTACGTGGTTTCGCACTCTGGCCATTGATGTGCTACATCAAAAGTGATCCTACCGGACCACGTATCTCGGTTTGCGACGTCGCAGACTTCCTGCCATACTTTATTTTTTAGATGAAAAACTACTCAACGTCAATTCTTGAACTTTTCCGTGATTTTTTTCCACTGTGTGAAAAAAAAATCTGCGGAAAATTCAGTGAATGATATCGGTTTGTTCTTTTTCACAAAAATAAAATAGGTTAGGAGATTTTTAAACACCGCAAACGAGATTTGTGGTCCAGTAGTTTCACCGTTGATATATCATTAAAGACGGAAAACCCCATTGAATTCTGAAGAAAATTTTGAAAAATATTCAAATCAACAGATTTTAACCACAGGACACGTGGACTACATTTTGCAAAAAGGAACCAAGAGCGTTTTAATTTCGCTGAGATTGTGCAACTTTTTTTTACCTTGCAAATATAAACCGATCATCCAAACAAGTTTTATTTTCACTCTTGATAAATTATAAATTCAAGGCGAAAATTACCTTTGAAAAATGAATTATTTGCAGGGTTTCAGTATTTCATTACAAAGATTGTAAGTTGCACAATTCTAGCCAACATTGGAATGCTCTTGGTTTCTTTTTGCAAAATGCAATCCATATCTCGCTTTTCTCGAGACTGCTTTAAGTGTTCGTGGAAAGTTAAAAAGTCCGATTGAAAGGAATGAAAACCAAATAAACTATCAGGAAAAGCGGTGAAAGTGAGAAGTTCTTAAAAAGAGTAGAAACTCACGATGAATTGCAACAAGTTGTCGGGAGCGCGCAACAGATTGAGGGATCAGACTTGGGAGACGGGCGCGAAGAAGCAGGGTCTTCGGAGGGTCTCACCTCGGAAGGGCTAAAGTTGGGCGGAGACGTCCCTTTGCACAACGTCGCGAGGGGGCATTCGGGGGATAACTAGCGTCTCGGAAATCGCGGAGTCAACCACTCCTCACCGACACCGCAATAAACATACCATTTTCCACCCCCGCCGCCGCCGCACATTGGTTCCGAGACCCGATCTAGGTGGCATTAATTCGAAAAAATGAATTTTGGAAAAATTAAAATTTGACACCACAGATTGATAGTGCATACTCTCGAGAGTAACTTGGCCAAATATCATGAAGATTGGATCACTTATAAGGAAATGATAAGCACCTAAAGGTGAGGCCGCGAGGTACTTTTGGGCGGACTCGCACCAGTTTTCAGTGTTTACTGTCAGGTCCTATGATTTGAAGTTCATCACACAGAAATAGATGCAAATGTGAAGTGTTCTGTTATGGTGTATCAAAAATATAAGGCGTGCTAAAGGTTTATACGTTCTTACTATCTTTCAAAAACGTGTCTATACATCTAGACAAGCCGTTAGACAAAGCGTTATTTTCCACTAATTTCAAGCAAATTTTTACAAAAATGGCTCTAGATGAATGTCTTGCGCCGGTTCGCACGCATACAGACCTACTGTAGTAGTTAGTACTAACCCTAAACTTGATTTTAGTGCAATAAAATTCTGCGCATACTTGCGTCCCTGGGGGTTAGGGCACTTTGAATTTCCAAAACCGGCTTTCAAGAAATAAAGAATTGACACACTAAGGAGCTTACTGCAGACCTCAGATCCTTGGGAATATGAATACTGCATTTTTTATAGGTCATGTGGGTTCTCAAGTCTTGATAATCGTTAAGATGATTATTTTTTACTTTGTCTATACCTCTAGAGAAGCCCATAGACTTACCACAGCTCCGGTTTTTTGACTGGAAATTTTACAATTATGACTCAAAATAAAGGCCCTGCGTAGGTTCGCACACGTGCAGACCGACTGTAGTAGTTAGTGCTGACCCTACACTTGATTTCGGAGCAAAAAAATTCTGCGCATACTTGCGTCCCTGGAGGTTAGCGCACTTTGAATTTCCAAAACCGGCCTTCGAGAAATGAAGAAAATTGACACACTGAGGAGTTTACTGCACTACTGCAGACTCCAAATCTTTGAGGACTGCATTTTTTGCACATCACGTGAGTTCTCAAATCCTCACAATTATTGGGATGATTATTTTTCACCTTGTCTATACCTGTAGAGAAGCCCATAGACTAAAGACAGTTCCCGTTTTTTGACTAGAAATTTTACAATTATGGCTCAAAATACAGAACACGTGGGTTCTTAAATCCTCTCAATCGTTTAGATAATTGTTTTTCACATTGTCTGTACCTTTAGAGAGGCCCATAGACATAGCACTGTTCCACAGAAAAGGAGCTTACTGCACTCCTCGCGCATTATTCCGTGATCGTATGAGTAAATGTCCTCTAACTTAACGACGAATGCTTATTTCTTTCTTGGTTCATGATTTCTTCGTGTTTTTATTCTCTCAGGTTTGTAAGGCTCTGAAATCATCGCAAGCTCACAACTTTGTTTCAAAAAGAAAAAAAGCAAGTGTGACACCTCACTCTTTTTGATGCGCAATAAAATATTATACCGATGAATATTTTTCCTGCTCCTACAGACAGTAATCATTTTTCTTTCAAAATACTTTGTCATTAATTTTGGTTTCTGCTTTCCTTCATTGAGTGAATACCTATACTTCTTGTTCAAGTAAAATATTTATGTTACGTATGTTTAAATTGCCGCGTATAATGAATTTAAATGTATTTTTTGAATTATAGACGAAGATCGAATCTTAATTCATAGTTATTCTGATAATATGATAATTCTGATAGCATAATTGTACCATTAAATTACGAAGCTTCAAAATTTCTGTTGGTTTTAAAGCGCGGCGAATCAAGAAATCAGCAAGCATTGAGGTTCAAATAAAGTTCTTCTTACGCTGATTTGTCAACACTGTATGAACAACTCGAATAGTGGGATAAGCAGTTTTCTTTGGTACTGGAATTTATTTTCCTCAGGGAAACCACAACATTTAGGAGGTATATTTTACCAGATAATACCAATTCCTGGTTCACAAAATTATACAACATTGCCCCCCCCCCCATAATAAAATTAGTAATTAGAGGACAAATCCTCGTAAATTCATCGATAGTTTTTGATGATAAATCAAAAAAGGTTGAAAAATATATCAGTCCAGGAATTCATCCATTTTAAAATATTATTAATGTAGTATTAAGTATGAATTTTCAAGCTAAATGCAAATTTACCACCTTATGCTAAAAGATACAGTCAAATTGACTTCAAATTCGTAATTAGCGACCCAAAGAACCGCTAGAAACATATATAATATGTCATCATCAGTGATATTCTAATTAATGCCACCTAGATCGGGCCCTGGAACCAATGTGCGCCGGGACGGGGTGCTCCCGCCCTTGAGAACGACGCATTTTCCTCCAACGCCTACCCTCGAAATATGTGCGACCGGTAACGGAAAAGGGCATTTTTGACCTGGACTAGGGCAGTGTTCGAAACTAACATTGGAGTTTCAGGAGCCATGTGGCGCATCAGGCTCAATTTTTAAGGGCCATTGAAGATTTTTTAGGGGCCAATTTGACTTTTTGCCTATGTATCACGGCGCATTTAGTGACAAGTTGGACGCAAGATGTTTTAGTTACAGAACTAGTAGCTGTTACTTGGGAGAAATTTCGAAAAATCACCAAACAGAAAAACTAGGATTTTTTTTTTTTTTGGGGGGGAGGGTAATTTTTAGGAGCCACGATGGTGCAGAGCCTTCATTTTTTAGGCACCATGACCGATTTCTTAGGCGCATTTGGCACGTTGGCGCCTGTGAGTTTCGAACACTGCAGGACTAGGCTAGGGTAACCCACAATAAATCGCATCGCCAAAAATGGACTAACTTCTCGGCAAGATTGTTCAAAATCGCTTGAAAAAATGGATAATGCCGTTGCTATTGGTCTGCTTTTCCTTGAATTTCAGTCAGTGTTTTTAAGTTCTATCGATGTTATCAGCATTTTAGTACTCTGATCTTTGGATTTTTAAAATTTCGGCGAATTAAATTGGTACATTTTTTAAAGAAAATCCCTCCAATGGTTTGCTCATGGGCATGTTTTCACGTGCCATAAATTGCACGACCAATCAGAAAATTGATTATCCAGCACCAATGTTTTTTCATACGGCGATCCTAAAATTAATACCGTGGGTACTCCATTTTTTATATGTCGATCCGTTTTTCGCGTAAGACGAAAATGCAAGTACCCATCAGGGCCGGATTTACCTTCTTGCCGCCCATGAGCCGCCTGTATTTTGCCGCCCCTTCTCATTCGTTTTGAAATATCAATAAAACCATTAAATGAACGTGCCGGAGGTAGCGGGGTGCGTTTACTCGTGTTAGACACATTTTTTTGCGAAAGCCCTGTCAACACTACTAGCAAAAGTTCACGGAACTTTGCGCGAAAGTTAAGTCCCGTAAACCTATCTTTTTGTGAACAATGCCTTCCGTTTACAAGCATTGAACGAAAAAATTAAGAAAGAACAAATATGAATGTGGTTTAGTAATTTTAACTTCCGCCGCCGCTCCACGCTGACCGTACTGTATTTGGCGCAATGCGGGAAGTATTCCTACAGTCTTGTAGGTGCTATGCGTTTCACGCCGACCGCTGCTGACCGCACTATGTCTGACGCAATGCGAGAAGTATTCATGCAATCTTGTGGGCGCTAATATGTGTTACATGCCGACCGCCGCGCCGCGCCGAGGGCTTCTCCTTTTCATCTCAAGTCCTCGTCATCATTCCTCTCTGCGCTGAACTTCAGACCAAATTGCGTGTTTAGTCCCTCTCTTAACTCGACTCATTAAAGATGATGTCTCTTGTATCACCGAAAAACAACAAAATTAGAAATTACTATACTCTCAGGAAAGGGAGATTTGGTCCCCTTCTCTCATTGATAATTTTTTTTCCGAATCCCATTTTTTTTATACCTACATTTAAAAACATTGCAAAATTTGCCGCCATGAGCCGCGGCCCATGTGGCCACCCCCTTAATCCAGCCCTGGTACCCTTTTCTATCTAGGTTACCCTAACTCGGACTAAATTTTCACACTACATTACTCGAAGTGTGTGGATCCGCCTATGCACCACCGTGTAGACGTGAAAAAATTCTTCTTTTTTGGGGGGCTTTTCACGTGAATGAAAACGGAACTATTAGTTGCTGATCCTCGATGTATCGAATTCCGATCAATAATTCTGATTTGAAGTTTCAATTTTTCAATTTGTCTATTTCATTCCGTATGAAAAATGTCGCAGTGATTCTCCGTGATATTCTTCAAGATCCATGTGTTCACTGCGATATCAAGCATCGGTGGTTCAATGGTAGAATGCTCGCCTGCCACGCGGGCGATCCGGGTTCGATTCCCGGCCGATGCAGTTTTGGAATTTTTTAGACGGGAAGACATTGGTACATGCAAAAACGTGAAAAAGTAGTGCAGCTGAAAAAAATTTTGAGGTATTTTACACACTCTAACCTATGTTTCCCTCCTGCCGTGCTAAAGAAGAACGCCGTATGAACCTTTAGACGTTGCCACATTTCCTTCAATAAAGATCTAATTCACTGGGAAAAGTGTGAATGTTTTTCTTCAATTATTTCAAAAAAGTTTGTTCGCAATTTTGTCTAAAATGTCTGAAAATTTCAAGGAAAAATACGCATAATATTTCTCAAAAACACATGTTTTAGCCGGGGTGATTTGGCAACCACCGAATGTTCATACGGCGTTCTTCCTTAACACAGCAGCCTCTATGGAGAGCTGGAGAGCTCAGTTGAGCACTGAAAAAAAATTCTCGGCGTTTTTACCACAGTCCGTTGGTACCTTTACCATCTCACTTTTTTTACCAATTATTGGTAATTTTACCCAGACAGACTGGTAAGCTTACCCAAAAACCGGTATTTTTACTGATTTTTTCAGGTAAAAATACCACTTTTATTGGTAATCATTTCCCGGTAACTTTGCCATTT